GCGCCCCCCCAGCCACAGGCCAGGGCTGCTCCTGCTGGAGGTGGCCCTCCAAGGGCTGACAAGGCTACGCGGAGCCACGCGGAAGAGGCTGCACAGCGGCAGATGACTGCTGCACGCAGCAGCAAAGCTGGGTGCTCAAGCAGAAGCGCTCACCAGTAACGCGGTTTTTCCCTTTCTCTTCCAATTCTCCTCCCCATCTCACCAAGCAGGAAGGATTCAGAGAGTGGCTGCCTGGTGGCTTAGCTGCTGGCTGGGTTAAACATAACATTGTTGCTAAGAAATCAAGGATTTTTCAACTTCCCATGCTTTGCTAGTGTGCGGGTGCACAAGAACTGGGAGGGAGCACAGCCCAAATTGGCCAATGGGATAATCCAGACCATGTGACATCATGCTCAGCATGTAAAGCTGGGGAAGGAGGAAGCGGGGACGTTTGGAGCGATGGTGCTCATCTTCCCAAGTCACCGTCACGCGTGCTGGAGCCCTGCTGTCCTGGAGATGGCTGAACACCCGCCTGCCCACAGGAAGGAGTGAACGAATTCCTGGTTTTGCTTTGCTTGCGTGCACAGCTTTTGCTTTACCTGTTAAACTGCCTTTATCTCAACCCACGAGTTTTCTCACTTTTACTCTTCTGATTCTCCCCCGATCACACCGGAGGCGGGGGGAAGTGAGCGAGGAGCTGCATGGTGTTCGGTGCCGGCCAGGTTAAAACCATGACAGCCTGGTTCCAGCCCAGACACAAAACCTGAACATCTAGCAAACTGGACAACTCTTCTCATGCAGGGTTGATCCTTGCCAATCCCACTCTTGTTGGGTTTTGTTAAGGTTTGCAGGCAGATACCCAGGCCCTGGCCTGAGATTCAGCTAACTGAATAGACCTTAAGAAGCTCCTGGACAGGACAGAAAGATCTGCAGAAGGCAGCAACACAGAGAAGCTGGTGAGTTGCAGACGGCACCGTGAGGAATGGCCAGATTTCACCTGTAGCTAAGGAGGAGCGATATGGGGCCAGTCACTCCCACACAAAGCCATAGCAGCTGGAGAACAATGTGAGAGGATAAGGAACCATATACCAGAGAAGCCACAGATCTGCGTCAGATATGGCGAGACCGGGGACATCTGCAAGTTGGCTGCTTGAAGGACCAAAGATTCAAGCCAGCTGCTGGGAGCCTCACTTATGTGTGGGTATGACAGCTACTAACCAGCTGCACACCTTGAGCAAGAACAGCCAGAGGAGCGGCAGCCACAGCGCTGTCACCTTCTGGCTGGAGGCAGTCCAGGGCAGGAACTGTCTGCATACTGCTCTCTGCATGATCACCACCTACCAGCCAGTGCACCCTCAGTCTGATCCAGCGCTTCTCCTGTGTAAGAGACAGCTCCTGCATGGTGCAATGGCCTGTGGCCTCTCAGACTTCTCTCAAGGCTGCACTCACAAAACTTCATCTCCAAGGAGCTATCACTGCCCATCATGACTGTACTAGTACACACGGGGCCTGCAGGAGTGACGGCACGCAGCCAGCCAGAACACTCCCAGTATCTCCAATGGTACTGGATATCCAGGAGGACGCAGTCTGATGCCCTTAGAAGGCTCTTCACTGGCTCTGCTATTAAATCCTGCCCCAAGAGAAAGCAAGTGCATGACTGTTCAGTCTGAGAGCGGAATGACTCAAAAGCAGCTGTGAACGGAAAAAAACATTTTCTTCCTGGCATTATGGCCTCCCCAGGCTGCATTCCTCTGCATCCTCTGGTGTTCACACTGCACCAGTTCCCCCACCCTTGCCATAGCTGTGCACTGAGCAGGGGGACCGCATCTCCATCTGGGAAGTCTCTTCTCTCGCAGCAGCGCGAGGAGCAGTGATGAGCAGGAAGCAATTGCAGGCTGCAGCATGCAGTCTTACCTTATCTACTCTGTCCTTCTGCACCCCGTAACGGCCTCCAAACCCTTTGGCATAGTCTGTATGGAAAAAATGAGGCTACTTTATAATATTTTATATTGTGTGTGCACCTCAGGCTTCAGTATGTTGTGACCAGTGAGACGAGTTAGCTTTGTCTGCATCTTAGCACATACGGAACTAAACAGAGGTAACAGGTAATACAAGCCAATCGTTCTGGACAATAGCTTTTAAGACCAATATTTCACTCCCTTCAGCGAAGCACACAGGTGTTCCGTGCCATACGCTGGCAAATCTGCTTCCAAGGCACTGGAGTGAGAAGCCAGTCATGCCATTTGAGTGCAATGTGGCCTTGTTCACTTAAGCTCAACATACAGGAGTCAAGCCATTCCTGGAACCTGCTCTGCCTCATTCTCATGTGCTCATCTTTTTAATGAGCTTATGATCAGGAATGTGTCTCCCCGAGAAAGCACAGTACAGTCTGGGAAGCCTGACTCAAAGACTTGCGTTCAGTATCTCCCACTGATCCACACATGCACCTACTCTGGCAGAGTTCTCCCTTGTGCTCTGGGGGTTCACAATGTCCCAGCTGCTCCACAACATGCTGTGCACGTTCAGTTTTCAGCAGCTGGATCTCTGTCAAGTATGAACCACTAGCTCTAGGTCTGTGTGTGCTCCAAGAAAACTGTGCTGCCACTTCTGGCAGCATTGCCCTACCTGTTTGGGATGCATGGGGCTGCACTTCCTCCTGATGGTCCCAGCCAAGGGCACTCTTGTCCTGACGATCCCTCTGGACTCCGAACTTCCCACCAAAGCCCACAGAATAGTCTTTAGCCACAGGGATCCAAATCAGGGCATGGAAAGGAACAGACAAGGGAGAGAAAGAGAAAAGTGGCAGCACTGTGAGCTCAGGCTGTTCTCACAGGGGCAATAGCTTTCACAGCCCAGGACTTAAAAACATGGAGCAAGGCCAGATTTCCCCACTGGTGGCTCCAGCAACAGTCCTCCCTCCTCCCTGGGACATGTCACCTGCTATTAGCACCTGCCTGGGCTTCCCCTGCACCCTTCCTTTCATGATATACTGCCCAGGAGATCCCTGTGCCCATAGAAATCTGCTGCTTCTCTTCATTGAGCCTGAACATTTTCCAGCAGTCATGTACCATGCAATGGCTTTTCTCACCTGCTCCAGTCTCTTGCTGCAAGCAGTGGGCACCTGACAGCTGCCCGTAGCTCTTCCACTATTCATGCAGCATGTTACAAAAACCAAGTACAGTGCCCCACAGCCCCAGTAGGCATAGTCCCAAGCTCCAGTCCTGAGCTGCCAAGCTGCCATCGGGCTCCCCCAACTCACCTTTCTGAGAGTCATGCTTCTCCGCCTGGCTCTTGTAGTCGAATCCCACTGCTGCTTTGTCTACCTTGTCCTTCTCCACACCGTAACGGCCACCAAAGCCCTTGGAGTAATCTGAGGTGATGCATGGAGTGAAATCCTGCCCCAAGCATGGGGCTGGTGAGGGGAGGGGGTAAAGATGGAGAGCCACACTGGGGAGGCGCACCAGGGAGGAGGAAGAGCATCAGGGATGATGGAAAACACTACAAAAAGCAAGGGGTTTGGAGGGGACAGAGCGGCCAGCAGGGAGCACCATGAGGGCCCATGGGAACGGGTGCGCAGGGCAAGCATGGGTCATGGCAGCACAGCGGCCCGATAGCAGCGACACGGCAGGCTGAGGGGGCAAGGAAGAAAAGCAACATGCCAAGGGCAGCTGGGGAGGCAGCGAGAGCTCGGCCACCCACGGATGCAAAGCCAAGGCAAGACTTGGGCACTGACAGCCTGGGCGTCCACCCGCTCACGCATCGCAGAGCGAGGATTTCAGCCTGTGCCCTGCTGGTCTGTGAATAAGGACATTGAGCCCTTGAAAGTACAGAAGAAATGGAAACTTTTGTTACATGGCTTACATTTGCTATCATGGAATCTCAGCTTCTACAAGGAAACCACTGGCTCTGCGTGCTGCAGCAAAGGCTGAAATGTTTCTGGAGATACGCTCCAGCTCTCCTCCCAGACCGCCTCTGGTACGCTCCACCATACGTGATAGAGCACAGCACGTCCTCCTCGCGCCTCCCCTTCTTCCATCTTCTAAACTGGTAATGAATTAACTACTTCAGCTGTGTTCAGTTACTCTCTAATGACCACCTTGTTATTACTGGCTGACGTCCTACGAAATTCCAGCCTCTGGCCTAGCTGCTGGCTGCACAGAGCCACCTTCCTTTCAGAGACCTGACGTGCCAGCTCTGACTCCAACTCCTGCCCTTCAGAAGGAGAAAATCACAGTCACCGCTCTTTGTTCCCTGACCCCATTCTTACAGGTCTGCAGCTCACAGGAATGAGTTGGGGCTCCTTCAGCAAATTCAGCCTTATCAGTCCATGAAGACTGGGACCTAGAGAAATATGCACGAAAACTTTTTGCATTCAAGAATGGCTCTCTGTTCCACAGAAGCTCACTCACTTAACGATTAATCTGTAACTCCTAGAAATTTCTTAAACTTTTCTTGATTAAACTATTATTTACCCACTAGGCCATTATGAAATGGACTTTTTGGGATGCCGTTTTCAGCAAATATAGATTTTGACTGTTACCTTGATGCTGGAGTTTTCAGTATGGACACATTTTTATGAAAAACAATCCAAACACTTTTCCCTATTTCTAACATTTTCATTTTGTCCTGAGGAATTTCTGTGGTTTTACGCAGCCTGATTAATTTCTATGTCTACAATCTAGTACACAATTCCTCTTATACAGGAATATGTTAACGTAGCACAACTGCATGTCATTCGTTAATTTAAGATCAACCAATAATGCCTCAAAACATCTTCCTTCTTTTATAGTTTCCTCTGAAATGAACAAGATTCAGTTCTTCTTTTCTTGGTAATACAGTATTCCTCACATTTATCCAAAACAGTAACAGACCTTGCCCTCTCATCTCCTCTTGGCTGCAGAGTATTTAAATATCTTTAGTTTCAGTTCTTGCAATGTTCTTAACGAATAGCTGCTTGTACGCACATGTCAAAGTTTGGTCGAATCATTTCCAGAATTCTGCAAAAGTTTGGGTGCTGTACAGGCTTTCGTTTCCATATCCATTGTCGTGCCTTTTCTTATATGCCGCGTTTTCAGAAATCACTTCCCACGTCCTACAATGCTGGGGTTCCCCCTGGAGCAGTTGGTCAGAAGGACTTTTAGAGGAAAGGGAGTATCAGCCATCCCTCGGGGGTGCACGTGGGGGTGTCTCCTCTGCTCAGCCATGCCACGGTTTTCATCAAAGCAAAAGGCAGAGACAAGCGGAGTGTAAAACAGAAGGATGGTGACAGGACAGTGGGGAATGGGGCCACAAGGGTGACTGACTGGGAACGGGACTTTGAAACAAGTGACAGGAGGTGGGTAACAAAGGAGGCTTTGCCCCAGCAGACAGCACAGGCTATGGGGAGCAGAAGAGAAGCTGGGCAAAGTGTCAAGGGGCCACACATGCCCGTGGACTTGCCTTTCTGAGATGAGTGTTTCTCCACCTCACCCTTGTATTCAAAGCCCAGTGCTGACTGGAACAAGAAGGGGAGGAATGTCAGTCATCCTGAGAACTGAGCTGGGACTCACCCACCCTCCGCCAGCCTGGGACATGCACTGCAACATGCAGGCACCTGGCCACTCCTTGGCTGGCACAGGCCTCCTCAGCCTCCACACCACCCCTGCTTGCCATGTGGCAGCGTGTCCAGGAACTGGCCCTTGCAAGGGAGGAGGACCACAACCAAGTAGGAGGACCACAACCTGGACCTCACACCCCATCAGCAGGCAAGGCGGCTGGGCAGTGTCTGACACCAGAATGTGCATGGGAGAGACAGCATCCTGCTGTCCCCATCCAGTCCTGCCATGACCACTCACTGTGCATGGCACAGCTTGGAGGTCTGGAGATGCAAAACACCACAGCCCTCAAAACAAACATGGTGCTGCCTGGACAGGACAGTGTGAGCATGTTAATGCACACCAGAGAATTAATCTTCACAAGCGCCCTGCAATTCGTCATCACTCATCGTCCTGCACGTAGGAGGTGAGCTATGTGCTTCAGTGGTGACCACGGTGCATGGCATGCCTACACCTGCACCCACCAGCAATTGAAAAACTGCAGCCACAATCTCAAATGTACATATTTCAGCTGCCTTGTCCAACACACCTTGTCAGCTCGGTCCCGCTGGACTCCATACTTTCCCCCAAAGCCCTGGGCTGCATCCGTCTGCGAGGAGTGCTTCCCAACATCAGCAACGTACTCGTGGCCCACCGCACACTAAGAGAGACAGGACGACATGAGCACCCACAGTCAGCCTGGCAGGGCGGACAGAGGCCCACGCACCACACACTTGCTCTGCCCCACTGCCGAGACGCTTGCAGCCACAAGGTGACAAGCCCAAACTGATCATGCTGGTGGTAGTGATGGCCCACACGCAGCCCTTGGCAGTACCAGCTCTGCTCTGAGACCTGTGATGCAGCTTCAAGGGCAGCCATCCCACACACCCAAGCCCAGTGCCAGCTCATCATGCAAACCGTAGGATGCTGAATGCAGAGTGGAGTGGTGGATACTCACATGGGGAAACTGAGGAGAAAAGTGAGGACAGGCATGCACAACTGAAAACTTACAGGCAGCAGGTCTGGTACCTGCTATTTTCTGTGTCTGTGAATATCTGGGATCACCCTTTATACCTACCACAGGCCAGGCAACAGTCCCTATGCTCCCTGCAGGAGGTGGTGTGGCCGGGAACTGCACACTCCTCAGGAGCAGGGCCAGCAGCTGAACACTTGCAGCATCTTGGTACGAATGGATGAAGGCCGAGGAGCTGCTCAACAAAAATATCCTCACTCCACTCTGGAAGAAGGGGCTGAGCATGGCTGCTCCATTTCGGCCTCCTGGAAATGTCTGTTTCCCCCCCTGCCATTCTGGTATCGTGCACACCCACAGTGACCCCATATAGTGAATACTACTGCAATCTTATCATCTTGCGATGGAGAACGTGAGGAGAGAATTATTATTCATTAGTTCTCCAAACACAAGTAGGGAGGCACCTAATTTAATTCACATGCAGCAGGTTTGAAACAAGCCACAGAAAGTCCTTCTTCACAGCTAAGGGGAGCGCTGGAAGGAAGTTCCAGAGACAAATTATACATATGGATTCAAACAGATCCTGGAGACAGATTACTGGCTAGCTAGATGTGTGAATCTGTGCAGACACGCCAGCTCTCTGTTCTCTCCCTTCAGGGTCAGGCCAGAAAACAGGGATGCTCTTTCCTTTATGAGAAAAAGACTTTTCCACTGAGGTCCAAGAAAGCTCTCTACAACTGTTACCTTATCCATTCGGTCTCGCTCTGTTCCAAATTTGCCCCCATAGCCATAGGAGGCCTTGGGGCCACTCTCCAGCTCCTTCTTCTTGATGACCTCATGCTCCTCTGACACCTTGTTCCTCAGCTGATGGATGCTGGTGAGACAGAGAGAGTCAGGGCAAGTCACTGTGGGATTGTGCCGACCCATGCAGCCAGCTGGAGCATCCCTATGCCACTGTCCCAGCAGAGCAGGACACGAACCCATTGCTAGCTGCCACCGGGTG